AACACGTTAACATAGAAAATACCAGAAGCGCTAGAATTTCTCGAGATCGCGCAATCGGCACGTGTACAAAAGGCGAAAGAAAGGTGTTCCTCAGCCTTGTAATTGAACACGCACGACACGATTTATACCAATTCCCTTGTATTGAATTCCCAAGTTAGACGCCGAATGTCGATTTGCTTACAAGTTGTTCAATAGAAACCTTGCGAAATGCAGTTACATTTTTTTAAAATAGAATTTAAGAAAGGTCCGACGTGTCGTTTGCAACAGTAACAGAGGGACGGGGGCTGGGTATATCGGTGTAAGTTGCAGATCGGCCTAAGTCGTACTGAAGGATTTTTGCTTCACGTTTAAGTACATATCAGAGTACATATTTACAAAAATATTTACTAAAACTCGAACGCCTGATATCATGAACGTAACCGTTACGTTACCTTATGCTCATAACATAGCGTGCCGGCTCTATGTTAGTTCGAGTATATATTTTATTTTTGTTGATTATAAGACTCTACTACTAAACTCACTCCTGAACTTCGTGTTTGAAAACTACCTTTAATATAAATATTTAGGGTACACCCTTGATAATACTGAAGTTAATTCAAAGTTTGGTCATTTAGTCCCCGGCCATTGCTAGTTTTACCTAGAACTTTCCAGACAAATTGACATTTAATTAGCTAATCGAATTATGAAACGGTTGCTTTGTATCTAATCTTCAATTGTGTGCCTATTCAGAAGTATATATGTAGAAAAATGAACGTATACGTTTTTAATTAGTAGGGTTAGTGAACCCGTGACCACGGCTATTGCAAAGCATCCGAAACATCGGGCCATAGTTAAAATAATTTTCAAATAAGTTTACCAATTATACATCGCGTTTTAAACCGTTAAAATGTATTATTTAAATGTGTACCACTCGCGTACTACAGACAACTACAGACAGTATTACTCGTATTATGTTTCATTAAATGCGTATTTACATTACGTAAAAAACTTATACTATATATTATATAGACGGTCGATCAACTACTTGTTTGTAAATAAGCTCAAGTGCTGTTTGTAGTACGCACCATTTGTTCAAAGTCAAAGGTTTGAAATGGCCTATTGTTTTAAGTACATACATTCACACCAAAAGAAGCTTTATAACGGAGGAAAATTCTCGCTTAAAGGCTTTACATAGGCTATGGTATTCGCGATATTGCAAACGGCGGCGTTAAACAAAGAGTGTGAGAATGAAATCCGGTGCTTAGAACAATGGTGTCTTTATAATACGAATAAGAGGACCTAATGTCATTACTGCGGCATTTTACATAATCGAAGAAGGGTAAGAAAACTTTTCCCTTTATATACGATTTTTTAAATCTGAATTTGTAAGCAAATAATTGCGTATCATTTTGGTGCCAGGGGGGGGATCATAGGCTTGGTCACGTGGTTTATTCATAAAATAAATATGTTCAATGACCTGAAACCAATTCCAACACCCCCTCCCCCTCCTCCTGAACCCGCCGGTGTCCACAACTTTATATCCGTCAATAAATACTCTCCTAAAATGGAAGATAACACATAAAATGTCCAGGTTTTAATTGTCCTTTCACATGGCAAATGCTAAAGGCATTTCGGTCAGAGCGCGATCGCCGTAGATACTAGACTACGACGTAACTTTCAGCGCATAACTAAGCGTCATAAGAAAAATTGTTATTGCTTTTTAACGACCACATTACACAAATTTCAAAGAAAATTTTGGGCTAATACTACTACTATTATATATAAACTATAACGGTGTCATCAAAGAAAGGACACCAAAACTTCCTCTTTCTACCTTCTTCTTCTTCTGTATTTTCTTCGGAAGAAAAAGAAAGTGGAAATAATACTTTCATATTTAAATACTGTCTGTAGTTTACGCGAGTAGTACATATTAATAAAACACCTTAACGGTTTAAAAAGCGATATATTTCGTTGGGCCTTAGTTAAAAATAATTTTCAAACAAGTTTAACTAAAATATATCGCCGTTTTAAACCGTTAAAGTGTTTTATTCGAATGGAAATAATACTTTCATATTTATAAGAAATATCATTTTGTGGACCTATTACAACTTACTACGTGATACGAGGGTGTCACATCCATCATTGGAAACAAATAAATGTCTGTTTGCCTCTTGCTGCGTATTTAACTGGTATTACAACTACTAAAATAGCTTTGGTTTGAGAAAATACCTTCGACCTAAACGACAATATAACTTCATCTTGTATTGATGCATAACTTGATATAATAATGATTCTACCCACAAATTCAAATAATTAATATAAATTCTAAATGAACTCCAGTATTCTGAAGGGTTATCCTTAACGATACAACAAAGCAGCAAACTGTAAATAATATTAATGTACGTAGAATGGATTTGCGTAAACTTCGTACGAATGTTTCAAACATTAATTTATAACTTCTTAAATATTTGCTTAATGATGACAAAAGACGTTTATATGCTTAATAGAGATTATATTCAGTATGACATATTTAATGGTTTAAAACGAGATAAATTAGTTTACTTTTTTATGATTGGGGAGGACAGACTAACGTCGAGTTTACTTGATGGTAGGTGAAATACACCAGCCGTATAAACTCTACCCAAGATGCACTGTCGACCTATTTTAGCTTTGGATATTCGGAAATCCACAGACTGAAATTTCAGGCTTTTTCATGTGTGAATGAATTCCGATATTGTTACCACCAATTTAATATCTAGGTTTCCAGATGAGGTGGTAGTAATGTATGGCTAATAATCATCGGGTCGTGGCTTCGATCCCTACCAGGTCCATGTTCCCTACATGTCAACAAAATTCGGGTGCAAATAAACTTTTTTGTTTATTTATGCCTGTTTAACAGAGAACTGAATCTGTCAACCTGCCTCTTTTCACTATATAAGTCACGGACATACATAATATGTCTGTTCCATTGGAAAGACGTGACTCCATTTTAATTAATTTTAATATCTGCGTTATCTGAAGTGGGAGTGATATTTCAAGCTTTATGTTTGTTTCATGCGTGGATGAATAGGCAATTTGGGGAAAACAAATAGCCATGATTTGAAGATAACTCAAGCCCACATAACAACCGACCTCCAAATTTATATCCAATAAACGTGCGCATTAATTGAGAATAATTAATGGAAAATTACATAAAACTTTCAGTGATAATTTTGTTAGTGGTCACGATGAAACGGAGTTTGCTTTGTTTGGTTGATATGAATTATATACAGATGATAATATCATATATGTAAATATTTACACATTGAATTGGAGTGTTTTAGTTTTAAAAGGTTACAGAAGCGCGAAAATGTGATAAGTTACATGTAGCCAATTGGTTGTCTAGCAATGCTCGGTCGGTTAGAATCCCGGTGAAACAATAATTTGTCACGGTCAAGTAGAGTATAGAAGTCTGATGAAATACTTCTACGTAGTTAAAATAATTTGTAAGTAAGTTCAACAAATTAATTTTGCGTTTCAAACTGTTAAAATGTTCTATTTAAATATTATGTCTACTTGTTTATAAAAGCCGATCAGTAAAACAGACACAGAAATGTGTTCGGCCCATGCGGGGGGAACGGGATTTCACTGTTTATGCTTTTTCGTTTTCGTTCTAAAGAACGAAACACTAACTATACGACGTATAGGATAAAATACAGCATCAACAGACCTTACACGGTCTGGTGTTTAATTTAATCTATAGAAATGAAGTAAAACTACATACAACATAACGAAATCCCTACTAATTTTATAAATGCGAAAGTAACTCTGTCTGTCTGTTACTCTTTCACGCCAAAACTACTGAACGGATTTGAATGAAATTTGGTACACATGTGGTCTAGACCCTGAGAAAGAACATAGGCTTTGTGATAAGGGGGTAGTAAGGCGTTAAAAGGGGACGTGAAAGTTTGTATGGAAATTCGTGGTTTTTGAAGATAGAACATTGAAACTTTCTTCTTTGGCTTTAATAAACAGCTAAATAATTTAAAATTCTACCCCAAGTCACTATTCCACGCGAACGAAGTCGCGGGCACAGCTAGTATATCATAAGGATGAACGTATGTATATATTTTTATTATTTGGCGTTTTAGATACTAAATTAGTCACAATTTTAAGTGTAGACCGTTTAAAATACAATAGTGACTACTTAAAGAGTATAATAAAAAGAAACGCGACTATTTTCCCTTATGTAAATGGGGCTTCAAGGTACACTTGAGTAAGAATTATATTTATTTTTTTAACTTATACTTGATCACTGTTCTTATTTTTGTAAATTGTAATAGAAAAAAAATATTTATAAAATGTCGTTGTTACTTAATATTTAGTAGCAACAATTTGATTGCTAGCTTTTTTTTTTTTTTAATGAGGATTTTGCATTGTTGAAAGAGTCGATACCACAAGGGTAACTAAATCAACTTAAAAAGTTTACACACATTATGTTTGTGAAAACATTACCACGTTATTTTAGAATATACTGTATTATGTTAGCTTATAAGCGACCCTAGCCTGAGCTTTGCAGAACTTTAGAAAGCCTTGGTCTCTTGTGAATATATTTTGGGGACTTTATCACCTGAGTATGTTAGCTGTAAATAGTATATATACTTTACATAACATTAGGTCACAAATAAAAATATATTTAAAAAGTATATAAACTTACAAGTAGATATTGCCTGTAGTTTACGCAAGTAGTTCACATTTGAAGCACTCAAAAAGATTTTAAATGTGATATATGAGATAACTTATTAAATGAAAGATCAATTTTAGATTGAACATTTTTTACGACACGGACAGGACTTGAACTGGCTTCCACAGCGTTCCGTGCTGTTGCTCTAACCGATTGGACAACTGTGTGTGTAATTTTTTTTTATAATTACAATATTTTCAACTACTATTCGAGGTTCACATTACAGTTAATAAATAATTAATAATTAGGTAATTTTAAATATCTGCCGAAGGTAAAGACAGGTTGCGAATTTAAATTTTCAATCTCTTAATGACTTTATTTTTCTCTCGTCGCTTGTTTGAAACCTCGTTCGCATGACTTCTTCGAATTGACCGACGACCATTTTAAACTGCGTGGACACCCTATAATTAGCTTCGAACAGCTTGCAGTGTTCGATAAAAATCGGGTGCAAATACTTTAACACCGCGTGATCGAGTGTCGGAAACATGTGATGAAGGGCGTGGTCGCCGAAAAGCGTGGCTACCCCGAATGAATTGCTGTTAACGTCCTTGCGGTCCAAAAGAGCCTCCAATTGATGCTCACCCCAATCTGGTGTTTCAGTGCTGAAAAACACAAGTTATTAAGTTTATAAAACGAAGTCGAAACGAACGAAAAGTCGACAATTAAAAAGGTTTTTTAAACTTTTTGATTGAGCAGGTATAATATGGCGGGCTCGTTTTTTAATGGTAGTATGTATGGCTAATAATTGTCGGGTCGTCGTTTATCTTTTTCTGTCATAAAGTATCCTACATTGTCCTGTATGTGTTTGTTTTTGTATTGCTTGTTAAGAAAAACCTACATTTTCTACCTCATACAAATATCAGCTGAGATTTTTAACCTTGTAACTTATACCTCTAGCTTATAAGACTACTGAATAGTGACTTTGAAATAGTTATTTTGGGCATCAAATTTGTTCTTGCACACCTCCTGTTTAACTCTATAAATTTAACCTGTTACCGACGACTTCTCCTGCGTCCCATCGTTCTTGCAAGTTAATCTTAAATAGATAGCCATAAACTGTTATGGACTTTTTTTAGATCATTTAGAGAGATTATTATTTCATACATATTTTTTGGGTATCTTAAACTGTTTTCGCAGCGTACTCAATGGAAATCCACAAGCGTGAATAATTTTCCCCGTTTCTTCGTCATTTCCCGGTGTTCACACGTTGTGTTGCAGTCACGGCACTATGTTTTATAGCCTTACTCGATAAATACTCTAACCAAAAATAGTAGTTTCTGAGATTAGCGTGTTCAAACCAACAAACAAACTCTTCAGCTTTATATATTAGTAAAGGTAATATATATATATATATATATATATATATCTATATCACCAAAACAAAAAATTACTCTTCTTTTAGCTTGTCGAGTATAAAACGGTAAATCCGTGGGAATTAGTAAAAAATCGTTTAGCCACAAATTGAACTGGCTATAGCCAATCTATAAATTGCAGCGTTTAAACGAATTTCGACAGCGACCACTGAAATATTGACGATTTTTTTATCATTGTCGAGCTGGGAATTAGGACAGTTTCCATTCAGGCTGGCGTCAAGTGGATTTCACAAATAAATTATTGGTATTCGATGTATCACTGAGTAATTTTATTTTGGCGTCGAAAATAAATAACTCTTGGGATGAATGGAGTAATGGAAGAAAATGGCGAAAACAATTAATGAAACAGAACGATGGTGGAATCTACAATAGTAGCTTTAGGTTTGAATTTGGCTAAGGTAAAATAATATACACTGAATCATTCAAATACTGTCTGTAGTTCACGCGAGTAGTACACATTTAAATAAAATATTTTAACAGTTTAAAACGCGACATAATATTTTAGTTAAAAATAATAAATAAAGCGTGAAAGTGTTTTATTTAAATTAATCATTCAATTTGGATTACTATTCATTTATCTCCTTTCATATTAAAAAAAAACACTTAAACGGTTTAAAACTTTAACGGTTTAAATATAAACCGTTAAAGTGTTTTATTTAAATGTGTACTACTCGCGTAAACTATAGACAGTATTCCCCTTTCATATTCTCTACAATAAAACCTCCCCCGTGTTTAATTTTTTATAGGAGTTGAAGCTGATTTAATATTTTTATAGATAGGAAATTATATTTCCTATAAATATTTATGTTTATATTCCCATTGCCTACCTGGGCTGGTCCCCATCCTTAATAGCATCGGGGTGGTGATGAGCGGCATTTACAGCTATCAGGAAGAACAGTAAACTCCCGGTGCAGTTGATCCACATCCACGTATAAACCACATGGAGGAAAGGGGCGCCACTCGTCAGCCACATGATAAAAGGCAGAGTAAAGCCGATGGCGTCATGCCAACCATAATGCGCTTTGAAGAATCCTCGACGAAGGAACACGCTCAAAAATCTGAAAGGAATAGATTGTTATATACGGTTTAAATTTGGATGACTGATTTTAGTAGGTGTATTTATTTTTGAATTATTTATGTTATATGGTGCAAGGTGGTTATGAGTTGCAGATTATGAGTAGAGTACGCCCTCTGAGCGGTTTCCGATACCGTTCACGTCTATTTATCTCGCTCTTTCTTTAAAAAAAATATTTATGTTATGCAATATTACTTTTGTTGAAGAATTAATAATATGAGGGCAATCAAAAATTAGGTTTAACTAACAAAGAACTCATTGACTTTAATAAAAAATATGTTTATTTTCCTGCTTAAATAGAGTTATGAATAGTCCTTATTATATTTTATAATAATGTTACAGCATTTCAAAAAAAGAAAGACAAAAAATCTGATATACTTTTAAAATGAAATAGTATTATTAAAGAAATTAACACGACAATGTCGCACGAAGATGAACTTTGTAATTTGATGGAGTGAATCTAATGTCCTTATAAGAACTTTTCCACGCCCGCTGAATGGCTCGCCCATTCCGCGTCATTATTCCTGACAAGGAGTTTTTACTGCACTTTATCTTGTTTATTAGATGAGTGGTTTTAAAAGATCACTTTCCACCCTCTCTGAGTTTTTCGTTATGTTATCTTCACTGAAGTATATTGGTTTACATTTTAAATACAAACAAAATCTAATCCAAAGTCAAAATTATACATACACTGCTAACCAAAAAAAACACGCTATTAAGATTATTATAAAACAAAATGTTACAAATACTGTCTATAGTTTACGCAAGTAGTACACATTTAAATAAAACACTTTAACGGTTTAAAACGCCATATATTAGTTAAACTTATTTGGAAATGATTTTTAACTTCGGCCCGACGTTTCGGATGCTTTGCAGCAGCCGTGGTCACGGGGAGATTTCCAAATAAGTTTAACTAATATATCGCGTTTAAAACCGTTAAAGTGTTTTATTTAAAATGTTACAATTCATAGGAAAACAGCGAAAATATTCACATAAATATCTGTCTTTTTCTAAAAATATATATTTAATATAATTTCAAATCGTCGCAGGGAAGCTTTGTCGCAGCCGTGGTTGCGGACAGACTAAAGAAGAATTTTTGGGTACTTATAAAACCGACAAACGTTGTTCTCCCCTTTAAGGTTACATTCACATTTCAAACCGTTAAAAGTGTTTTATTTAATTGTCTACTACTCGCATAAACTACAGACAGTGCTTAGCTAAAACATTTTTAAACAAAATATATAAATAAAAAATACCTCTTCACAAAGCTGACTAAAAACAAGAAAGGGAAAAAAATGTATTGCGTAATAAATCCGATTCTGGCGTAGAGTGGTTTATCCTCTCTTGGATTGTAGATTAAGATCGGTTCGAGAGTGCTTATCTCTGCATCCATTAGCGTATTCGTGTATAGATGATGTGAAAGTACGTGGGACACTCGAAAATCGCTGAAAGAAATCAATTAAACTCGGCTTTAGTTCATACTTAACATTATAATCACACAATTCTGAAATTAAAATCTTTATAACGGGTTTTAAAACTATACAAAAGCGTATTTTTTAAAAATATGTATTTGTATTGAAATCACTTTAAAATACCTGATATATAAAGTTACTGTTAAGTACGACCCGACTAAGAAGCCCGACGTTTAATAATTAGTAGGTAATATTGAAACGCGAAATATTAAAAAGTTCAAAGTATTCAAAATTTTAACCACTTTGCTAAATTACAGAGACTAATCGTATTATATATTTTATAGAACACTTTTAACGGTTTAAAAAGCGTTAAATGTGTAACTTATGACATAGTACAGTCAAGTCACAGACAATACTTGTTATATAATATTGTAATGAATTCAAGTAGATATAAGTGCACACACACGTAGAGCAAGACCGTCAGCAGAAACTCCGACACCAATCAAAGACGCATTAACAAAAGCACTTACCGATACGACCACATGCTCATGTTGAACAAGAACATCCTCCAATTAGTTCTTCGGTGGATGAAGTTATGGCATGTAACAGTCAACAGCGCCAAACTTACAGCCGCGACCACACACCACAACACAGACAACCAATAAACCGTTACCCAACTTGCCAAACTCGAACAGCACAAGAGAACTATGAATAATCCATCCGTTATCCTGTCACTGGTTTTATTAGCGTCTTTCGGTATCCTTTTTAATTCCTCATAAACAAGTCTCTTCAGAGTTCTGTAAAACCCGTCCTCTTTAAACGTGAATGGAGAGTTTCTTGGCGTTACTGCGTCTTTGATGTAGAACTTGTCTAGTAGCTTTTCGGTTGATGGTTTCAAATGGTGCGACTCGAATGCTTCCGTTATATCAGTCCCCTGAAATGATCGTTTTACAGTTAGAAGCTAATTATTACAGCAATAAAAGTTCCGGTTGTGATAGCAATAGTCCGACGGGTTCGTTGGTCTAATGGTAATGATTGATAATCAACGGGTCGTGGGTTGATCCAAATCGGGTCCAATGTTTTTTTAATTAAAAATTCTTTTGAATCGTGTTCGACTTCGTCTGGAAATCTGGATAGGTGGTAGGAATATCGACAATTCCGTCCGCTACCGAACCACCTTCCACAGATGAAAAAGCTGTGAATTAAATCACTTTCGGTTTTAGTCTATGGATTTCCGAATATCCAAAGCCAAAATAGGTCGACAGCTTGCTTGTTTAGATGCTATAGGTGGAGTATTTTACCTACTACCAAGCGAACCCTATGCTTTCTTTCTCCTCTAACATTAAAAAAAAACAGAATTTTCTGTATCAATTCAAATGTAATAAGTTATATAATTAAATACTGTCTATAGTTTACACGAGTATACACATTTAAATGAAACACTTTAACGGTTTAAAACGCGATATATCAGTAAAACTTATTCGAAAATGATTTTAAAATTCGGCCCGACGTTTCGGATGCTTTAAAAATCACTTTCAAATAAGTTTAACTAATATATCGCGTTTTAACCGTTAAAGTGTTTTATTTAAACGTTATATAATATTTATATAAGTACTTGAAGAATTGTTAACTTTTAAAATCTCAGCTAAAATTATAAAGTAGGAAACTTAATAACTAATCAACCTTCGTAAGTTCCAGCCACTCTTCTCCGCCGGGATGTTTCTTTATGAAACTTGTTAGATCGTAAAGTTTGTCGTGAATTCGCCATAATCCTTCGGCGCCGTCGTCTAATACTTTTCCAGCCAGCCACTGTACCGGATCTTTAAAACCACTATCTCTTAGAGACGGATACTTCAATTGAGGAAAACTAACGTGCGTCTTCTTCTCCAAAACCCTTTTTTGTGCGACTGCACTCCATTCGTTAGCTTTAGGTGTCATTGCCCTTAACTAGAGTATATTTTATGTATTATTTTAATATTAAATGTGTTTGTTCCACGAATAGTAAAACAATATGTCCACATACTTGTACTTTATCGCGAAATATATCTAGACGCATTAATGTCCGCGTAGAATGATTTCTTGACATTTCACCTTTTAACGGAAAATAGGCCAAGAAGTTTATTCGAGAATCAATTCGTTAACGAAGCTAGATTTTGCGCCAATTAATAATAATTAGTGGGAATGTTTTGCATTTACCACTGTATTCCTTCTCTTTTCACGATATTTCATTTGATCATCCACTGCGACGCTTGTTAGGGCGCATTGATCAGTTTAAACAAAATTTTAACTATCTTTGACACTATACATATATTTATATTAAAGATGATGAGATTTTAAGAGATGTGTTTTAAAGCTATACTATAAAGAGCTCGAAAAATTACGCATTTGGATTGTAAGGTTATTTTCATCAATTGACTTAGTAAATATATGCTGAATATATAAAAAAATTGTTTTAATATAAAAATATATATACGGTAATGCATTAACTTCATCCAAATTTCTTATACTGTAGTGGATATTTTTGTAGATAACTTAAAGAGGAATTATTCTTTCGTATGTTATTTTGGGTATCTTGAACCGTTTTCGCAGCGCACGCAACAGAACCCTCATAGATGAATAATTTTCACGTCCTGCGAAAGAATGATCTCTCTTTAAACGATATAAAAAAATGTTCGTGATAGAAAATATCTATCTTTAAAGATTAACTTGCAAGATGGGACCCAGACCACGTCATGCGTAACAGCTATAACTTATAAAGCTGAGGAGGTTTTCGCAAAAATAGATAAGATAATTCTCAAAATAAATATTACACCCGGACGAAGTCGCGGACACTGCTAGTATATAGATAACTAATAAGTGTTTTGCTGGCTACATCAGAAATATAAAGCAGCAAATTGATGTACTACGGTAAATTTAACGGACATTTTTGACGTAAGAATATATTAATGCAAAATATTTTCCATATATAACTCCCACGGGCCATATTTCCAATGCGGCATCCGACTTATTGTGTACTATCAGGATTCACGACACCTGACCTACTTTGAACTTTGTATGGATACCGAGGATATGAGACGTCTAAGGGCGGAATCTACGACCGTTCACATACGTAATGCAATTTTTTCGACTTCAAATTTCATTAATTTTGGTAAATATTCTCTCAATATAACGATAATCATAAATAAAATTGAAATCCCGTTTTTCCCATGGTACTTCATGTGTCGTGCAAAAATGTGTCCGTTTTTTCACAGTTGTATCACTGTTAATCAGACTTCTGTACCTGACCGAAGCAATCTATTGTTTCCCCGGAATTCAAACCCTGGACCTCTCATGCTTAACGCAACTGCAACACGTTTAACAATTTATCTAGAGAGGCGGTTTCAACAAAGTCGCTAAACGTATTGCCTAGAATTACGTTTAGTGCGAGAAATCATCAGTTCGAATCCCGGGGAATCACCATACTGTTACTATCCGGCAGAGTACAGAAGTCAAATCAACTTCTTGACTGTAAATAAAAATCGATCTGTGAAATGGACAGATATGTGTTCGCCCCGGAGGGAAACGGGTTTACACATTTTTTTTTAACTTGTAATTTTGAAGGCTCTGCTACTTACGCAATAATAAAATCTTTGGTTTCGCGAAAATAGAAAGGTACCCAACAAAATAGTATTTCACACAGAAAAACCTTTGTTTCTGTTGCGGTATTATAATTTTAAAGTGTTAGCCAAAACTCCAAGCTACACTCTGCGGTCACGATACACGGCAAAGCATTCCTCAAACAAAGCTTTTAGTTTAGTTGAAAAACCTCATGCTTCCTTGATGTGGGTCATATTTAGAAGTTACTCTGAAAAATATATATATTATATTTTACAGGTATATTATATAATGTACTAAGTACTTTATAGGCAGTGAGCTAAGCTATATTTAGCATTTTTTTTTATACTAAGCATTGTACCTATTGTTTTACTCAGCAATTTTCAACTATGAAGAAACAACGTAGCAGACTTGAAGCCAATGTTTTATCCACCGTGACCACGGTCGCTGTAAGCATACGAAAGTGAAAATATTTGTAACTAATGTATTTCACGTTTAATATATCACTTTACTGTACATTAATTTCTTAACAATAAAATAAAATACATAAAAAAACACTTTTATCAAGTAAAATATGTTACTGAACTGAACTTATTCTGAATTTATTTTAACGACGGCCCGACGTTTTCAATGCTATGTAGGAACCGTCACGGAGTTACCGAAGATGACGAAATGTCGGGGAAAAGATGAATTAAGAATACGTTAACTAATATTTAGCGTTCAAATAAACCACTTTAACGGGTTAAAACGCGATATAAATTAGTTAAACTTATTATATTTTGTGTTTTAATCCGTTTTAATGATGATATGATGATTACATATTCTATTTATCTATTTTATCGCCAAAAATTGAATAGACTTAGGTTATATTAACTGATTGGAAAGGGTTATTATGACGTTAATCAATATTTAAATGATAAAAATGCGTGGGGTGTGGAGGAACCCGCTCTTACAAGGAGAAATATGTAGTGCGCTAAAAGTACATAAAGAATGTGAAATGAAACTTGGCGATAAAAGGAGTGACGGCGAGTTTATTGCCAGTTCTTCTCGTTCGTTCTACGCCCTTGATTTGAGAACTCGTAGTAAATGTAAAATTAGATTCTTTACTTTTGACGTTCATAAGCGTTACATAGTTACCTACCTTAATAAATGATTTTTGACTTTGAATGTGAACATTGAAATTACCGCTTATAATTAAGTACCCCGGAAATGTAATTAAAGTGTAATTTATAATTCAACTAGCAAGGGTAATATGACTTCTCACGTTCCTCTATTCATGCAATGATTTCTGTAACATGATTAATATAGTATGTGTCGTGTATCACATATTATGTATATATGTTAGCTATGTAGGTCAAGTTATTACGGGTTAGCGGTTTTAATCGCTAAGTTTTAACTATGTCGGTCTCCGCTGGTTTGGGCAAGGTTAAAAGGTTTAAAATGCTTAGTTCCGCGTATTTTGATATGAGAAAAGTTTTGAGGGGACAATAACTGGTGGGAGTAACTATTTTAATTTCGTACAAAGGTCTGAATATTGAAATAAAAGTAATGGAAATAGTGATGGCCATAAAAGTATGGCTAATGATAAAATAGGCTGAGAAAGCATGAAACCTGACACATTTAAAAACGACGGTTTAAAACGCAAATCTATGAGTTTAACTAGAGCCCGACGTTTCGAATGAGCAACCGTGCCAGTGACAACGATCCGAGGGTTAATACAATGTAAATAAGTCAACTAATACATTTAGTGTTTTAAACGGTTGAAATTGATTTATTTAAATATGACACGTCTTAATTAGTAGCCTAGTTGCATAAACTACGGTCAATACTCTTTTTGTATTAGTTAATTTATTTACAATTTATTTTAACTACGGCCCGACGTTTCGGCTGTTTGCTAGGAGGCATGGTCAAAGGGGGATTGATGATGGAGGGTCTTCCTAATGTCAGACACAATAACGGAGCTGATTTAATTGAAAAACGTAACAACAATATTGGACCTGACTTGTCACCTGACAAAAAATATCTTTCTCTTAAGACTCGTTAGAACCACTTAAGTGACAAGTAAATGAATAATTAAAAACACTAAGTAGCTCAAGGACTACATAGTTAACAGTTTTTTTTTTATAATTTACAATATATATCGCGCTGTGACCAATATGAGCGAAGAAACATAGAGAGGTGCGAAAAAATGGGTAAAATTAGTCATAATTGTGGGTTTCCGAGGCGTATGTTGCAAAAACGGTTTCAAGACACGACGCAAAGAGACGCGACCGACGTCGTGGGTAACAGCTTAAGATTATTAAGATGAAGGGGTTTGCAAAACAAATTTGGATGCCTGAAATAACTATTTTTGCTGACTAAATCGCTAACACAGCTAGTTTTACAAAAAATTTAAATACTATATATCATTTATTATTCAAATAGTAAATTCATACATTCAAATTAAAAATTAACTTATAAACAATGTAATCCCTATAGAAACATTGATAAGTTAATAAAAACAAAGACATAATCAACAATACAAGAACATACGGCGGACGCGTTTAAAAATACATATATAAGACTTTTCAGTTGGTATGTAATTTAAACGTTCTTTAAGATTAAATAATTATGAGTTTTGGTTTCACATTGTGATAGAGGAAACATCTTTGACCAAGGGACAGAACACTTCTATTACTAGAACGGACATAAGAATCTGTCTGCTGTATCCGTATAATAAGAATGGGCTTTCAAAGTTTCACAGAAGATGTTTAAAATAATTTAGATTATTAAATAGATTTAACTGTAAAGTTAGATAAAATTCTGGTTTGTGCCAAAAAAAAAAAAAAAAAAAAAAAATTTGAAAGAAATAAAAGTGCTATAAATGTTGTAGACTCGTTATAGAAAAGACCACACGCGCCCCTTGACAAACAAATTAATAACAATATCTCATCTCAATATCACATAATTAGAGAAATATATCATTTGTTTACAAACTCAGTTCACAATATAACGTCGAAGTGATAACAATATTTGGTAATATAAATAGCGTTTTGACAAGCTTACACTTAGTCGCGGTGCGTAAAGTTCAAGAGATCATCTAGTATGGCGCCCAAGGAGCCGGAATACTTGGAGATAGCTCATAGGAGGGCTATTGAGAAGAAGACGCACGTGAGCTTTCCACAACTAAAGTATCCATCTTTAAGGGATGAGGGTTTGAAGGACCCAGTGCAATGGCTAACGGGGAAGGCGTTAGATGATGGAGCTGAAGGGCTGTGGAGAGTGCATGATAAGCTTTATGATCTGGAAGTGTTTATTGATAGACATCCAGGTGGTCGAGAATGGTTGGAGTTGAGCAAGGTAGGGTTTCTGGATTCATGTGAAATTTTACAAAGTTAATTGACCATACAATGTTGTGTCATTATTTGAAAAAAATATCTTCATCTAGAACTCATAGGAGTACTAAAAAGGTACTTACTAAAATGTCGTCTGAGTCTTAGTTTGTACTTGTGTGTTTTGTTATTTGTATATCAACTTATCGTGTTATTATTTTTTTATAAAACATACACCTTTTTTCTGTTAGCACCTGCACAAAATTTTACGTGAGTATCTAAATTCATTTCACTTAAATAATAATTTAAGATAAAAGCAACGGAGATTAAAACGTTTTGGACAGTTTCATTGTAATAAAATATTTGCTTCTACATTGTATATTATCTCTATAAACCTGAAAAACTTTATTTCCCCGTAAAAGCGCTTTCAAACGCCATTAATTCTAAAAGGTGTGATAATTCAGACGAATGCAACAACAACAACAAATATTTTCTGAAAAATCATTTTTATTGTTACAACTAAAACGGTAGACTAAACAACAAAAATAGGTTGATTCATTTTTATTTTTTACCAATTGTGAGTGTTTAAGAACGACTGTTTTTGATAAGGTCGTAACTCCGGATTTGATTTTATCTTTAACGATTTGACATCGTTTTTAACATTTGTGATCGTGACCTCAAAACTAAATTTATTGCATATCATTGTCTTTCGGGCTGTTCGACCGATGTGAGCGACATCGAGAACAGCCCGAAAGACTGAATGATATGCTGAACGATGGCCGTGAAAGCCTTACACAATTGGAATTTTGTTTCAGTAGATTTAAATATAAAAGATTTAAAATTAGAATCTTATTTGGTCAATAAAAAAACTTAATTAAAGATGAATGATTGTTTTAGGGTTTAGACGTAACAGAAGCATTCGAGGCGCACCATCTCAATCCGTCAACGGAGAAGATGTTAGCGAAATTCTATGTAAGAGACGCGAAGACGCCGAGAAATTCTCCCTTTACTTTCAAAGAGGACGGCTTCTATCGATCACTAAAAAAAAGAGTATGGGAAGACCTTAAAACCATTCCAAAAACGGAAAACCAACGCTCGGATAGAGTGATTGATGGGCTCTTAGCCACCTGTCTAGCTGCTTCCACGATCGCATGCTGGACAGAAAGTTATTGGCTCGGAATGCTTGCTTATTTATCGGCATCGCTTTCTCTAGCTTGGATATTGGTAGCGGCACACAATTACATTCATAAGGCAACTAATTTCAGAATGTATTACTTCAATTTGGCTCTTTGGTCTTACAGGTGTGTGTTTGACTTAGATTATTTGGTTAATAATTATAGTAATATAATTCAAAATTTTGTTTTTAAACAGCTATATTATAATGTTTTATTATTTTTGTTTGTAATTTTATGTAAAATTAATTATAAAAGATAGATTGTTAATAATACTTTGCTTTTATCATAGCGCAAGCGGCCTTATAATAAAAGCATGTATTTAGGTTAATTGATTTATAATTAATCTTGATATCAGATTCAAAAGTCATATTTCAACAGATGACAATAGGTTTTAGTAGAATGTTCTAAATTCTTTATTCGTTTTTCTATGCACTTTGATAGCAAATATTGATCGTTGAAATACTTATATACTGTCTATAGTTTACGCGAGTAGTACACGGGGTCTCCTCGTGATCACGGCTGCTGCAAAGCATGCGAAACGTCGGGCCGAAGTTAAAAATCATTTTCAAATAAGTTTAACTAATATATCGCGTTTTAAACCGTTAAAGTGTTTTATTTAAACGTAAAAATACTTTTTATTTATTTGTTATAGAGACTTCAGAGTGTCCCACGTGCTATCACACCATTTGTACACAAATACCCTAATGGACTTAGAAGTCAGTGGATTTGAACCAATCATCTTCTGGAACCCGAGGAAGGAGCGGCCGTTCTATGCGGACTACGCATTTTTAATTGAACAATTTCTCTTTCCATTCATGTTTATACTCAACTACCTTAAGAGGTGAGGTTATTTTTCTTTTGCCAGTCCAATATTGCCATAATGCGAATTAAATATTTTTGTTTTTGTAGTTAAATATATGTCTGTGTTAAATATATTTTTAATGTGATTTTAAATTTATTTCTCCAATGTTTTCAATGGCGACTCATGAAAATGGTGGAAAGCAAAAGACTTGTCCTTGTATACTAATAATATAACTGAAGATTATACTAACTCACTGCTACTAACGCTAACTAAATAAACATTTCCTTATCAATTACAGACTTATCCTTATATTCATAAGACCCGGCTTCTTAACGAAGCATTACAGTTGGCACGACGGCATTGGATTGTTACTGCCTCTTTGGATGTATTTGACAAGTGGCTCCACGTTTTATCATGCAGTAGTTACATGGCTGTGGATAAACTGTACTGCTAGTTTCATATTCTTCACAATTGGTTCAAATGCTGCTCACCATCACCCCAGGATTTTCAAGGATGGAGATGAAGTCAGGTATGGGAGAAACAGTCTTTTATTCTATTTAACAGTTGAGAGGATCCTGGTCAAATAAGATATTAAAGTAGAATCTACGGCTAGCACGCGGTGGTGGTGGTGGTGGTGCCCCAATTGCTTAGAGCAACAGCATGGAATGCTGTGGATATTAGTTCACGTCATGCCCGTGTCGTAAAATTGTTCATGCTAAAATCGATTTTTAATCATTAACCATTAATTGTTTAATTATTATTTTTTTAAATACCAAAATATATAATAATCAAACACACGCTTAATTTAGCACAAAGGTATTATTTCTTAATAATATATATCTATACTAATATTATTAAGAGGAAAGATTTATATTTTTGTTTTTTGGTATGTAATGGATAAACTCAAAAAGTACTAGACCGATTTTAATAATTCTTTTTTTCATTAGAAAGCTACATTATTACTGAGTAACATAGGCATAAATTTACTACTTGTTTACTATAGGCATCTATAGAAATTCTTACTAAAACCAACGAAAGGCGTAAATAAATTAGCTGTAAAATGTCTTTCTTCGCATACGCTGCGAAAAGTATTAATGATAGGACAAAAAAATGTTCGACAATATTTTATATATAGTGAGAGCATATGTCTAATTATTGTAGTTACGTCGCTATAACTACGTTTTTACTTTTAACAAATTCATAGAAATGCCGATCAAGATCAGACCGTGTTATCCATATCATTTATAATTTTTTATCCGAATAAATAATTTAATATTCAAGACTGTCTCTATACCTGATGATTACTTTTTTAATTATTGAAATCGGACATTCCATTCAAAAGATATCACGAAGTTAAAATAAAAATGCATGCCGGCGGTGGCCACCACGCCGCGCATCAAGTATCTAATTCGACGATAGAGGGGCAGTAAAGGGGGTTCCTTACGCAGTAGGCGCGAACGACATTGAATATTTCGTTTTTTTTTTAACATTTTTATGCTTCACTTGAAAAGTTCTTTTCAAAGCTACTTAGTTATATTAGGAATCACACTTTGCATAATATTTGTCAAAGTTCTTTTCAGAATTATCGCTTTGAGCTTGAATATTTTCTTTTATATTATTATTAGTTTATTCTTAATTTCTCTGATTTAAAATAAATATTCTTCATAGCAATATGCCTAGAAGAAGAAGGTCGCAGCTATCTAAGAATAGTTCCCAAGCGAGATTAGCAAAGTTTGTCATATTGGAGAGTGTTCTTCCTAAAATGATCATCTGGAAAGTATTATAGTGTACGCGTACCAATCGCAAGCCAGATAATCTATCGTCGAATGTTCAGGTTCGTCTTGCAGAACAAAATGCAAGATCGTCGCAGCGACTTGAAGGAAATAGAGCTAGGAATTCGCGAACGCGTGCACGGAACTCTAACACTGAACGCTCGCAGCGGCTCCTGACACAGCGTGATAGACAAAGGTCGTTAGGACGCGAAAAACATTTTTTTTTCTAATTTAGTGATTCATGGTCGTTTTAATTAGCATGCTTATAATTTAAATATCTGTACTTATTTATGTCTACCCGTGCGAAGCCGGGACAGGGCCGCTAGTGTAATATAAATTTGATAATTAATTTGTTACAGTGACACCACTCCAGATTGGGGAATGCACGAGCTTGAAGCAGTGATGGACAGAGAAGACATCAACGACAGTCATTTCAAAGTGATGACATTCTTCGGTCACCACGCCCTTCATCATCTTTTCCCAACGATAGACCACGCAGTTTTGGAGCACCTGTATCCTGTTTTTCTCGAGTTATGTGAAAAGTACCGAGCTAATTTCAAAGTTACGACGCAACTAGATTTGTTCCTGGGTCAGATCAGAACTACACTAAAAAAGCGACCCACTCTACTATCAGAGAAGATTTGAAATCCACAATGGTTTAACTTCACGTATCAAAGTGAATATAGGTTTTAATGGACTGACTAATAAAGAAGCATATTTATAGAGTGCTAAGAAATTGGGTTTTATTCCATCAAAAAATGCTTTTAGGAATTTGAATTAAACAAAGCGTAGTATGCACGGTATGCCGTAAGTTTGCGTCGGCTGTAGTACATGGTAGGTTAAGATCGGTTAGATAAACAGCACGGAACTCTGTGAATGCCGGTTCATACCATACATCATTTTCTATTTACAATCGATTATTAATTTAAAAAAAATCAATATTATAACGCGTGTGAAAAGTAAATTAAATCTTGTATTCCTAATGTCAGACACAATAGCGCAGCTGATTTAATTGAGGAAAATAACAACAATATTGGATATCACCTGACAAAAAATATCTTTCTCTTAAGACTCGTTAGAACCACTTAAGAGACTTGTAAATTAATAATTAAAAAACACTAAGTAGCTCAAGGACTACTTAGTTAACAGTTTATTTTTATAATTTTCAATATAAAAAAAGTTTTGATTTAAGTATTATTCGGAGAAACAAGATGAAGTTCCATACATTGTATAAGGCTTTCACGGCCATCCATCAGCATATCATTGTCTTTCGGGCTGTTCGGCCGATGTGAGCGAGAAGAGGTTCTCGACGTTTCGCCATCATGTGTGGACGGCATCATCGGGAGATGTTAACTCCTCGATTGCTCGAAGAATTCTCCGAACAGTCCGAAAGACAATGATAAGATGAAGTTAAGAAATATATCACTGAAAAGGAGGCAGATATGAGACTTTTCCTACGAGGATTTCTAAAAAAGTAGTAAGTTCTATACTAATATATAAAACTGAAGAGTTTGTTTGTTTGTTTAAACGCGCTAATCTCAGGAACTACTGGTTCGAATTGAAAAATATTTTTGTGTTGGTCAGAGCATTTATTGAGAAAGGCCTTAATGCATCGCGCTGTGACCAATGTGAGCGAAGAAACATAGAGAAGTGCGAAAATTATTCATAATTGTGGGTTTCCGAGGCGTACGCTGCAAAAACGGTTCAAGATATGACGCGAACGGACGCGACCGACGTCGTGTCTAACAGCTTAAGCTTATAAAGATAAAGGGGTTTGCATAAACAAATTTGGATGCCTAAAATAACTATTTTTGCTGAGTAATCGCTGACACAGCTAGTTTTACATAAAACGTTAAATATATATCGCTATAGAAACATTGATAAGATAATATAAACAAAGACATAATTCAACAATACAAGAACATATGGCGGACACGTTTAAAAATACATATATAGGTACTTTTCAGTTGGTATGTAATTTAAACGTTCTTTAAGATTATGACATTATATAATTATGAGTTTTAATTTCACTTTGTGACAGAGGAAACATCTTTGATCAGGGACAGAACACTTCTATTACTAGAACGGACATAAGAATATCTCTACTGCATCCGTACAAGTACAAAGTTTCACAGGATATGTTCAAAATAATTTAGATTAGATTTAACTTTTACAGGTTAAATGCTGGCTTATTATAAAAAACAACAAAATACTATTACTTGTAAGAATATTAAAAGTTCTATAAATGTTGTAGACTCGTAATAAAAAGGACCACACGCGCCCCGTGACAAACAAATTAATAATAAGATAGCATCTCAATGATATAATTATAGAAATATATAATTTGTTTACAAACTCAGTTCGCTGAATAACGTTGAAGTGATAACAATATTTGGTAATATAAATAGCGTTTTTTTCAAGTTTACACTTAGTCGCGTTGCGTAAAGTTCAAGAGATTAGTTAGTATGGCGCCCAAGGAGCCGGAATACTTGGAGATAGCTCATAGAAGGTCTATTGAGAAGAAGACGCACGTTAGCTTTCCTCAACTGAAGTATCCGTCTTTAAGGGACGAGGGTTTGAAGGACCCAGTGCAATGGCTAACCGGGAAGGCGTTAGATGATGGAGCTGAAGGGCTGTGGAGAGTGCATGATAAGCTTTATGATCTGGAAGTGTTTATTGATAGACATCCAGGTGGTCGGGAATGGTTGGAGTTGAGCAAGGTAGGGGGTTTCTGGTTTCATGTGAAATTTTGCAAAGTTAATTTGCCTTACAAATTATGTTGTGTCATTATTTGCAAAAAAATATCTACTTACTAATGGTTTGTACTTGCGTGTTTTGTTATTTGTATATCAACTTATCTTGTTATTATCTATGTCATTATCTATTTTTATTTTACTTAAATAATAATTTAAGATAAAAGCAACGGAGATTAAAACGTTTTGGACATTTTAATTGTAACAAAATATTTGCTTCTACATTGTATACTATCTTTATAAACCTGAAACTTTATTTTCCCGTAAAAGCGTTTTCAAACGCCATTAATTCTAAAAGGTGTGATAATTCAGACGAATGCAACAACAAATATTTTCTGAAAAATCATTCTTAATGTTACAACTAAAATGGTAGACTAAGCAACGAAAATAAGTTGATCCATTTTTATTTTTTACCAATTGTGAGTGTTTAAGAACGACTGTTTTTGACCTCCGGGTTTTATTTATCTTTAACGATCTGACATTGTTTGTAAGATTTGTGATCCTGACCTCTAAACTAAATTCATTGTATGCATTAAAGTTTTGTATTAAGTAGATTTAAATTTGAAATTAGAATCTTATTAGGTTAATAAAACAACGAAATTAATGATGGATTATAATCATTGTTTTAGGGTTTGGACATAACAGAAGCATTCGAGGCGCACCATCTCAATCCGTCAACGGAGAAGATGTTAGCGAAATTCTACGTAAGAGACGCGAAGACGCCGAGAAATTCTCCCTTTACTTTCAAAGAGGACGGCTTCTATCGATCACTAAAAAAAAGAGTATGGGAAGAACTTAAAACCATTCCAAAAACGGAAATCACACGCTCAGATAAAGTGATTGATGGGCTCTTAGCCACCTGTCTAGCTTTTTCCACGATCGCATGCTGGACAGAAAATTATTGGCTCGGAATGCTTGCTTATTTATCGGCATCGCTTTCTCTAGCTTGGGTAATGGTGGCGGCACACAATTACATTCATAAGGCAACCAATTTCAGAATGTATTACTTCAATTTGGCTCTTTGGTCTTACAGGTGTGTGTTTGATTTAGATTACTTGGTTCATAATTATAGTAATAATATTTAAAATTTTGTTTTTAAAAATGTTTACCTAATTAATAATATCAAGATTGAATAGTCGTATTAAAACATACAATATTACAATGGGTATCAGTAATATGATCTTATTAGTTTTTATATGCATTTTGCTATATTGATCCTTAACTTAATTTTTATTTGTTATTCTTATTATAGAGATTTTAGAGTGTCCCACGTGCTATCACACCACTTGTACACAAATACTCTAATGGATTTGGAAATCAGCGGATTTGAACCAATGATTTTCTGGAACCCGAGGAAAGACAGGCCATTTTATGCCGACTACGCTATTGTAATTGAACAATTCCTTTTTCCGTTTATAAGTATCGTTAACTACCTTAAGAGGTGAGGTTATTTTTCTTTTGCCAGTCAAGTATTGCCATAATGCGAATAAAATATTTTTTTTCTTTTTTAGTTCTATGTTAAATATAATATTTTCAATGTGATATTTTTTCCTTTATTTTTGGTGGAAAGCAAAAGTCTTGTCCTATACTGATATAACTTAATGTGCTATCAAAGCTTATAAACATTTCCTTATAAATTTCAGACTTATCCTTATATTCATAAGACCCGGCTTCTTAAAGCAGCATTTCGGCTGGCACGACGGCATTGGATTGTTACTGCCTATTTGGATGTATTTGACAAGTGGTTCCACGTTTTATCATGCAGTAGTTACATGGCTGTGGATTGTCTGTACTGCTAGTTATATAGTATTAACTATTGGCTCAAATGCTGCACACCATCACCCCAGGATTTTCAAGGATGGAGATGAAGTCAGGTATGGGAGAATCAGTCTTTTAACCTATTTAACAGTTGTCACAGTTGAGAAGATCCTGGCCAAATAAGATATTAAAAGTAAAATTCTTGATTGTATGATTTTGTATGTTGATTTCTTTAAAATTTTTTTTTGGGGCGGGGCGTTGGGGGGTTTTGCGGCGCCGGGGGTCAACCAATAACAACTTTAACATTTTGCACATGATGGCACTATATCACACGGCTAGCACGCGGTGACATAGTACCTCAATTGCTTAGAGCAATAGCATAGAATGCTGTCCACAGCCGTGAACGCCTTGAACAACAGCCACACACTCATCGAAGTGAACCGAGGTTCACGTCCTGCCCGTGTCGTTTTTCAAACTAAAATCCGTTTTTAATCAAAGCATTAGCTGTTTAATTTTTTTTCATCTCAAAATATACCATAAACACACGCTTAACTTAGCAGAATGGTACTATTTGTTAATACGAATGTAACATAACTTTGGTTATTAATTTGTTAAAGTGACACCACGCCAGATTGGGGAATGCACGAACTTGAAGCAGTGATGGACAGAGAAGACATCAACGATAGTCACTTTAAAGTGATGACATTCTTCGGTCACCACACTCTTCATCACCTTTTCCCAACGATAGACCACGCAGTTTTGGAGCACCTGTATCCTGTTTTTCTCGAGTTATGTGAAAAGTACCGAGCTAATTTCAAAGTTACGACGCAACTAGATATGTTCTTGGGTCAGATCAGAACTACACTAAAAAAGCGACCCACTCTACTATCAGAGAAAGTGTGAAATCCACAATGGTTTAACTTCACGTATCAAATTGAATATAAAGACGCATATTTATAAAGTGCTAAGAAATTGGGTTCTATTCCATCAAAACATGCATTTAGGAATTTGAATTAAACAAAGTGTAGTACACGGTATGCCGTAAGTTTGCGTTGGCTGTAGTACATGGTAGGTTAAGATCGGTTAGATAAACAGCACGGAACTCTGTGAATGCCGGTTCTAGTCCTGCCCGTG